AATGACGAAATTTAAATGTTGAAATAAAATGGAAAGCAAAGAACATAATCCCATAGTTAACTAAATTCATAAAAGAGTGTCAAATCTGAGAGTTACGAGGATTCTTAAAGGTGCACTGTGTAACTTTTTGGTTGGCGGTCCGTCACCTGCATGTTTCTATGGATATGTCATTTCTTTGCCTGCAAATGTTCCACAGTATAGCATTAAACAGTTCTATTTTACATTTATTCAGTTACAGGTGGTTTTATAGCTGAAAAATACCAACAAAAACAGGCATTCTGATTGTGAGCGGGGTCGCCTCTCCACAGAGCTGGACTGGAAGCTTGGACTGATTTGGTCTCCATGAAGATAGAAAGGTTTAATGCCATACTGTGAAACATTACAGACAAAGCAGTAACATCTCTATGGAGACAACCATTTGATGGACCTGCCACCAGAAAAGTTACACAATACACATTTAAAGGCACTACTTGATTTTTTTCTGTATTAAAACATGGAAAACAGAACTAGTTGGTTTTAAACAGATGTTAAAACATACATATCCAGCATATAATTATTCACAGTGCAATAAGTTTATCACGGTAAAGCTAACAACAACTAGCATTCTAACAGCGCACCCACATTACTTCCTGGCAGTGTTGGGAAGTAAGAAAGTAAGGGACTGCTGTGACTCAGTGACTCTCTCTACAATTCATGTGTTTATTAGTTGGTTTCCTTTTCTTCAAACTAAATTATAGGAATCAGTAATCAGATTACTAAATACTTAATAAAGTAATCCAAGTAGCAATTATATTTATTTTAGAAAGAGTAATCAGGAGTTCATGTTTATCTGATTACTTATAATCTGACCAACATTAACTCCCAGCACCCCCTGCGCAGCACCATCACTGGACCTTTGAGGACAGGATGTTGTCACTGTCCTGCTCCAAGGACACACTGTAGTTCTGTCATTATGTTTGTTTCATTGTTGCTGCTGCCAAAATATGAATTTTTGGGGGAATCTATATGGTAAATGGTCACATTTTTCTATAACGCTTTTCCATTTTCAAGGCACTCAAAGAGCTTTACAACAACGAGCTACTCACCCATTCACACACCAGTGTACGCAGACACTGGGGGCGAAGTGAGTTAAGAGTCTTGCCCAAGGACACAACAACAGCATTAATCTGTGCAAGCTGGAATCACAGCTGTGGGTCAGTGAATCTGACCACTAAAACAATGAAATTTATGTCTACAGCAAGATTCAAACCACCAACCTTCAGACCAGTGGACTAACGCTCTCCCAACTGAGCTACTGCCACCCTAAATGTTCACATTTTTATATCTCGCTTTTCCACCATCAAGGCACATCAGGTATTCATCTGTGGGAGCCTGTGGGTTAGAGGATCTGACCGCTCAACCAGTGATGTTTATGTCGAGAGCGGGATTTGAACCACCAACCTTCAGATCAAACAAATGCTCTACCAACTGAGTTACTGTTGCCCAAAATACTTCGCAATTAGATGTAGACAGCACACAGCAGCCTTGTTTTGTGACACTAAGAGCTGCTTTTACAAAATATCTGCACTGGGGCAAAACTACATTCACTTTATTCTCTGGATAAAATCAGCTAGAGCCTTTTAAAAACATATACATTCAAGAATATGGAGATAGGTAAATGTAAAAGTCTGATTTTTCCTATTCTGACTCAAGTACAATTGTACTTTTCACACCATACTTTTACCCCCACTAGAGTAATATACGTTTACATTGTAACAGTACTCTTACTTTCGTACAATGTTTGACTCGTCCAGCTGCCTTTGGCTAAATTGGGCATAAAATAGCTGAAAAACGGCAAACGTGGATGCCAGGAAACACCTCAGCAGTATTATTAACTCACCCACTCAATCCGTCCACACCCCGGGAGAGCCATGTTCTGCACATACTCGATTTGAATGACTTGGATGTTAGTTGTGCACATCTCCCAAAACTCCTTCAGTTTTTAAAGTAACTGTACCTGATGTTTTCCATGTATTTGTACAAAATGTATCTTGCCCCAGTACAGATATATTGTATAAGCAGCTCTTGACGTCAAAACGAGACCGCTGTGTACTGTCTGCATCTAATTCTACTGAAACTTTGCAGCTAATGTCATCAACATTTCTCAGAGGTGTGATGCTAACCGGAGGCATGCTCTGTCTGAGACTTTGTTAGACTTTAATCTAAGTTTATTTCAGCGCAATCTGACCAGAAAGAACACTTTTTCAGTTAGTCACTCTCAACTTTTTGTTGAAAATCACCAAAACAGAACTATGAACATCTGAATAAATCATAGACTCCTGAAAATGTGCTTCTTAAATCAATTTTGTATTTTTGTCTTGAGTTTTCAGACGATCTTAAAACTTTTTTTTAGCTGTGTTTGCAAATGTATGCTTTGTGTCAACATGGTAACTGCTGAACATTTCGCTGTCACAAGTGCATGCAAAACACCCCCAGCTTGATGCCACTCTAGTTTCAATAGTGTTTTTTCCTCATTCAGTAAGCGCACTATTATCATGCTAGTTGTCAGTAGCATTACCGTCACTACACCACTTTTGAGTGGCTTTGAGGGCCTGTTTACATGAGAATGCTTGCAGGCAAAAACAACAGAATATTTTATCGGAAGTGCCTTTCGTTTAGACGGTGATGGTGTTTTTAGGGCTTAAAAACATTTTTGTTAAAAAACGCAAAAATCTGAAACCATCCTCCAGAGTGGAAAAGTTGAATACGCTCCACTGTAGTGTTTCCGTCTACACTGCCCAAGATGCAAAACAGATCTGCTCATGTCGTGTACGTGTTTACGTCACATACATACAGTACACAGAAACCTGGCATGCATACCCAATCAAATTCTACACACTTTCGTGTCACCGTATGCACACAGATCTCCTCCCAAAAATGCTCGTCTAAACGCAGAATAAAAAGTGAAGACGCGACGCCACTTTTGCGTCTTCATCATCATATAAACGTAGCCTAAAAGTTGCGAACACCGCTTCTAAACTCATCACTGTGAATAATTAGGATGCTCAAAATGCATAAGGTAAGTGAGGAATAACTTTGGACCACTGCAAACTTGATTTTCATGTTTTGAAATCAGGTACAGCGTTTTCAACTTTAACTCTCTTTTCTTTCGTGTTCTTTCTTCTCAAATAAAAAGCCCAAACCGTATGATATCTAGCCTCCTCTGCCCTGTGCACACCTCCAGCTGTGATCGCCTCTCCGGGTTTAACTTTGTAGTTCTTTTGTGATCATACTTCAAAACACCAAGATTGTTAAAATACCTGCTCCTTTGTTCCCTCTGCACCTTTCTGACACTTTATTTTAAGTAGTATATATCGCAACTATATTACTCCCTGCAGTGTCTATAGAAGTTTGGAACGCAATAAGCTTTTAAGTACATACTTCGTCTAGAAAAAAGGTTTGCTCGCATAGTTTAGAAATGAAAAGACTGTAGAATATGGTATGGCTTGATGATTGCGTTCAGAAATGATTATCATACTTCAAAAATAGTGTGTAAAATAGTTTGGTGTAAGAATGATGAAAACTTCAAGGTCCTATATTATACAAACTTGACTTTTGTGAACTTTTAGTGATGTTATAAAGTTGCTTCCTCCTCAGAAACATACCTGAAGTTGTGTTTTGTTTCATTCACACGTGTTTGAGTAATCCTCTGTCTACATCTTTAACTCAAATGCTCAAAATGCTCCACCTTGTGATGTCATGCAGTGTTAGTTTTAGTGTTAACAGCTACTTTTTTAACTTTAACTCCAAAGATATTGGCAATTCCAGGGCAGAAATCGCCCAAATCATTCTAGTGAAGGTGCATGGAGTTTAAAAACACACTGTATCACCACATGACATCACAAGGTGGAAGTGGAGTCTTTTCTAAGCTTAAATATGCAGGATTTGTGTGTTAAACATGTGCGAATGAAACAAAACACAATGGGATGAGGAAACAACATAACATCGATTAAAAAAGTCACTCATGTAAACACACCACATTCATACTAGGCAAGGCGGGTGAAGTGTCTTGCCTAAGGACACAACAACAGTATGTACAAGAGGCAATGCTACCCCACTGTGGCACCCGGTATTTGCAGTGGTCTCTCATCTAAGTACTAACCTGGCGTAACCCTCTTAAGGTGGCATGGCCTTTTACCCTCTTTTTCTTTTTTCTTTCTACTTTCTATTTCCTATCAGCATCCAGTAGTAGTCGAAGTAATAGTAATAGTAGAAGCAGTAGTAGTTATAGTACTGAAATACAGTCGTCGTTCACTGTAACGTGGTTCACCTTTTGCTGTGTCGCGCTTTTTTAGAACAATTTTGCATGCTTTTTTTTACAGTGTATGATCATGTGATGTGTTCCTCCCCCTGCATCCTGATTGGCTAAGAGACTGTAGACCATTGTCAATCACTCTCTTCCATACTGTCTTTCCTGTACAGTACAGAATGTGTTCCGTGTGACAAATTTACAAAAATGTTGGATCTCTTGCAGTGTGATTCTGAAGTGCTGTATGTTTGCGAGTTCTCTCCCCGACAAAACGTTCTGCACCGACAAAGGCTTCTGCGGTCTCACCCTAAAGGCAGAGGAAGATGCTCACCATCACACAAAAAGTTGGACTTCTGGACATGCTGAAGGAAGGTAGAAGTTACGTGGGTGTAGGGCACCATTATGGAATAAATTCATCTTTAGTTCGTTACGTAAAGAAGGAGGAAAATAACATAAGGACGAGCAATAAGTTTTAAGACGGATGCAAAAAGGGTTGTAACTGTCCTGTCTGAGAAAAGTGTATAAAGTGTGTGGTGAGGGGTTTTACATTCTTAAAACATAATAATTGCAAAAAATAAAGCTACTACTACTACTACGACTACTTAACGTATTTTGTCTATTGTGGGTTATTTTTAGAACGTAACCCCCAATAAACAAGGGACCACTGTATCTAAATATATAATATATTTTAAATGTGAGATGGACTCCTTACCTTCCTCTCCAGACTCCCCGTGCCCGTGTTGGTCACTTTGAGGCTGTACTTGTGGAAGTTGGGCGTGGTGGACCATCGGACCGGGTTCTTCCTGGAGGGTTCCTCGGGACCCCCAGGAGCGTCAGCCAGGGAGGGGTCACTGCTGCGGCGCACGTGCAGAGGCATACCTGAGGGAGAGAGGAGAGAGTCAGCCAACTTATCAGAATGTGAGTGTTGTGGTTTGTGAATGGTTCCGTAACTGCGTAACTTGTGTAAGTACAGTTCGCCGCCTGCTTATCTCCATGGAGATTTTATTGCTTTGCCTGAAATGTTTCACAGCATAGGGTGTTAAAGGCCCTGTACCAGATTTTTTCCATGTATTTGAATAAAGTTTGTCTTGCTCTATGCTCTGGAGGTCAAAATAAGTCAGCTATGTACTGTCTGCATCTAACTATAAGTGTTTTATTGTCTGATAATGGAAAAGTGATCGTTAGGCAGGTTAATGTTAACTTTACCCTCATGGCAAAATTTTGAACTGCTCTAATAAAGAGATGAGACAGTAAAAGGTATCGGGAAATTCTTGAAATTCTTGAAAAACTTCGATTACGTGTTTTTCAAGAATTTCTTTAGGAGAGAGAGAGAGAGAGAGAGAGAGCGAGAAAGAGAGCGGTCAACAGTCGTGCATACATGTCAGTGGGGGACCACTTATAAATCACTTGCACTATTTGCTCTCTGGACTCGACTCTCTCTCCCGCAGAGCAGTGGTAGAACGGGAAACTGTTCCTCCAGTGCCTTTTGCCGAGCAGGGTGCCTGCAAAGTGTGATCGGCGATGGCTGCGCTTGGCCCCATGGGGCATGAAGCTCTGCGACAGTCCTTTCGCCTGTGGTCCCGATCCGGGGGTAGCTTGACCCGGGCTCCCCCCCGCGCAATAAATGGGCCAGAACCCAAGGAGGCCCCTTATCATGGGGCACTTGAGTTATTTTTCAGGAAGCCACGTAAAATAAGGTGTTCTGATAGGACATGCAAGCCACGCACCAAATAGGCTAATGCTGTTTCATTATTTCACCATCTGATCACCAGGGGGGCACCACACAATGTTAGTTGCTCTGTGGGACACACTACATATAAATCAATTATTTTTATTCCGATGAGGTTCATTTGGTGTTCCAATAATTTATGTTATTAGGTTCTTTTTTCAGACCAAGAGTTTGTTTTCATACCTGACAGCTCACTAGCGCACCTGATCACTCTGAGGAAGAGCACTAGTGAGGAGTCCAAACTGTCAGGTATGAAAACAAACCCTTCGTCTGAAAAAAGAACCTAATAACATAAATTATTTTTATTATTTTTTTGTTGTTGTTGTTGTTTTGTATTTGTATTTGTTGTTTATGTATTGTTCTGAGCCTCGCGTGGGGTGCGAGATTGTTTTATTTACGTAGTTCTTTTTTACAAATAAATGTCATTGTATATTACTTATGCAAAACTAATAAATAAAGTTTGGAAAAAAAAGAGCCAGTCTTTTGACCAGATCTAAAACATTCGGATCCCATAAAAAAACTGAAAATTCCACTAGATATTTGTTACACTTCACCTGGAGGAAGTGTCAGAAGAGAAGTTTTGGCATCCTTGCATAGACAGATAGACAGATGGACAGATGGACAGATGGATAGATAGACAGACAGTGACCCCATTCAAGGATAAATACATTGTTTAACCACACTATTCCAGAAGCTCACAAGTTGTATGTATTTTAGACTTGCTGACTGTAAGCTGTTCAAATGTTATATAGTGCAAAATATGGAAAAGGAAGGCATTCAAAACCACAATCATGCAGCCACTTCTGCAACTCAACAAATTCCCTCCGTGTACCCAAGTATATATTTCCACTTGTGTTCTGCGATACAGGAAGTTAAAGTTTAATTTCACTTTTTACTTCCTTATAACTCCTCGCGGGCCATGCCAAAACACTGTACCCCTGAAACCACCAAATCCGTTTAACTTGGCTTGGAATTTCTTTGCGGTGAAAGAAACTGCAAACTGCGAGACGCTATGCTAACAAAAATACTCAAATAAAAACATTAAAATCTTGTTTCAGACTTTAAGACAACATTGGCGTAGTAATTTCGGTTAAATGGAGCAGATACGAAGGGGTCGGGGAGAGTGGTCGCTTTAACCGAAATTTCCTGGAAGTGAAGCCAGGTGAATCCGATGGAATTAGCAGGACGCTGACAAGAAAATAGTCGCGGAAAAGGCGGGCTGTCACTATGACCGATTTGCAATGAAAGCGAGCTGTAATGGGCCCATGTGTGATCAAGGGGGCCAAAGTTAACTGAGACATTAACACAGAAGCCCTGCTCACGCCAGAAATGTAGAAACAGAGGATCTTGGAGCGTGTGTGTGTATAGAATTTGAATGGGGTTTCTCTAAAAAGCTGCAAGTCTTTTGGTCATAATTACGTCGATTTTTCAGAAAGCACCTGTCATGATTTGGAACATGATTGAACTAGGTGTCATGATGCATCCAAAAATGGTTAAATGTGTTTAGGAAGTTCCTTTTCTTTTTGTTAATCATTTCATTGTACGTCATGACAAGAGCCATCAAACTGATCAGTGAAGTTAGGAAGGAGTTAGGAAAGGCGCAATTATGCTTCCTTTCATAGCTCCTTCAGCATAGGAAAGGAGCTATGAGGTATCCCACAATCCAACACACCGATCAAACTGACCTTTTCCAAATACTGTTGTACAAGTTCTACACTGCATCAGATTATTACCGTATTTTTAGGACTATAAGTCGCACTTTTTTCACTGACAGCTGCAAGAGGGTGTTCTAGGCTTGTGTGCCATTATCTGCTACTCCCATTACTTCTGTACCACTGTCACTTCGATCTACTGCACATGTCTCCTGCAGAAAGAGCCTCTGTTCTGTCTGTTTCATGTCAGTCGATCGCACCATTAGGCTACTTCTGTAACCCTGAACATTTAAAATTTACAAAGTTATAAATACAACCGAAACCATCCTGTCAGGATTCAGAAAGACTGGAATAATTCTAACTGGGACTGATGCTGAGCGTGACGACAGCTACACAGAAGAGGAAGCGGCGCTCTGTTTAGGTCACAGAGGTCGCAGAGTTGTTCAGAAGTGACACTGAAAATGAAGAATTGAATGGATTTAGTGATTTGGAGTGAGATGGTTGGTGAGTTTGGTAAACTTGTTCTGTTCTGTTGTTTATGCTATAGTTTATCTGAAGAACTGTTCATATGTGACATTAACAATCTGTTGTTCTCTCTTCTATTGTTATTACTAGAACTTGGCTTTCAAGATGAAATGTCAGTTTCAGGTCTCTGATTTTATAAAATAAATTGTAAGGCTAAAGTCGGGGACTGGATTGCACAATTTATTTATAAAAATCTTGTTTCGTCTCATTCTTGTAGAGCCAATCTCGTGTCTTGCCTTATGTTACGACCCAGAAAGATGAGTCTCAACATACTTATAAAAGGACACGGAGACCAAATTAAAGACTAGAGTTCTTTTATTTATTTATTTGTGTAGAGATGTTTTTAACCCCCAAAAAGAAACCCTACCCGTGCCCAAACCAAGAAAGTAACAACAGAAAGGTGGACCTGATGAGCCGGCCAAAAAGAACAAAAGGGTGCGACACCGGGCCAACCAAACGTAACACCTTATCTCGTGGAAATTGTATCTCATTTCACCCCTAGTGTATGTAAGATTTAGATTTTAAAGAACACATATTGCGCTTGAGCCTAGTTTTAATCTACGACACCCGTGGATCAGGATGTTATATTATATATTATATTCGTAACATTAATTCAATAACGACTTAAAAGAAACAAGTGCGCTGGCTTTTGCATTAGCAAACTGTAGTTCTCAATGGGAGCTGACATGACTGAAAACGTCATGAACAAAGAGTCAGCAACTCCTGCAGATTACGCATGTTTTTGTTTTTGTTTTGTTTTGTTTTTTTTACTAAAATGACATGATGCTACTGAATCCTACACATAAAATTATTAAATTAGAGAATGAAGTAAGCACAGAGAAGTGATTAAAGATGACTCAAACACGCACGAATCACTCCAAATACAACTTCGAGAGGGGGAATGATGAAAAGGAAACAACTATAACATGGTTAAAAGCTCTGAAAAGTCATTTTTGCGGAATAGGTCTGCTTTTAATTTCATAAACATGACTTAACTGTGTCCCCAGATACAAAACACGTAAACATGTTCAAAGATGCTTTTACTGGTAACAACTGTAATGCTAATTTATTCTTAATTACAAAAACATTGATGATGGACAAGTTGTTTACGGCAGAATTTGGTTTTGTTCTCAAGATGATTATCTGATCAGAAAACAGAATGAGCCTCACATGAGACTCTTATTTGGGTCGCCAGTTTCAAAGCTGGAATCCAGTTGGTTTAAACTTCAAAACATGCAGAACATGCACGATATCGAAGGTACACTGTGTAACTCTTCCGTAACTTTTTTGTGCATGGACGGTTCTACATGGTTGTGATTACTGTAATGCCATACTGTGGAATATTTCAGGTAAGATGGTGAACCCTTCACCATAAAGTACCACCTTCAACCTATTAGCAGCCTGATTCTTTGCTGTAGTCTCACACACACTTGGGAGTATATTGAATGTGACAGTTGCAGAAGGTTTCTATATATACAATAAGATCCAATTGTGTTGATTGAAACCATGGAGACCAGCATCATGTACACTACTTTAGCTGTTTATACGACTTGACAGTAAATCACTTAGAGGATTCTGAGATCGTGTACAGAAAGCAGGACTACTTCTACTACATTTAATATGCGTAGTATCTAATGAAATCAACTTCTGTGTGATTTGAGCTGCTTTATGTTACGTTAAAGAGTCCATACATATATATTCTGATCTAAGGCTGCATTCAGACTGCAGCCTGAAGTGACCCAAATCCGATTTTTTTGGCTTCTATGTGACCTGTATCCGAACTTTTAATGACAGTCTGAACGACACAGATCAGATTTTTTCAAATGCGACCCAGGACACTTGGATATGTGCTCCTGAAACCGATACATATCCGATCTTTTGACATGTGACTTCAGTATGAACGGTCAAAGCGCATTCATCCAACCTACACATTATCAACAAGCCACAAACGTCACTATTCTGCGCTGAAGTAG